TATTCGCACCGTTTAGAATTCAACGGACAACCTTAAACGGTACCGTTTTGAATTAGACGGTTCGTTTTTTAATTTTTCGCCCGTTTAACTGCCACAGTTATCTTTTTACGGCCGCATTTCTTGCGCACGTCACTCCAAGGACAACTGTCACATCAATGCCAGTACTTATACACGGGCCCACCTACACCCATTTCAACAACTCTGTTCACTTGTGCATATTCTCAAATACACAAGTGTTTCACCTCGGCTTCAACTACAATAATGCTTCATTACATTTCACCTCGGCTTCGGCCACAGCAACCCAATCTCACACATTTTACTTCGGATACGAGTATTATGACCTCAGTTATTATATTTTATTATGGCTCTGGCCAATTTTACTTCTTTATTCATATTTTTATTTTGTTATATTTTATTCTGTCTTTATGCTTCAGTATAACTCAGCACTTCTGTTTACTTTTATAATTATAATTGTTAACTACTTTACTTCGGCTCCGGCCATCATGACTCCGGTCATCATATTTCATTACGGCTCCGGCCATCATGACTCCGGTCATCATATTTCATTACGGCTCCGGCCATCATGACTCCGGTCATCATATTTTATTACGGCTCCGGCCATTATGACTTCGGTCATCATGTTTATTACGGCTCCGGCCATTATGACTCCGGTCATCATGTTTTATTACGGCTCCGGCCATTATGATTCCGGTCATCATCTTTTGCTATGGCTCTAGTCATTATTTTTGCATGACCACAGCCATAAACGCTCAGTTCTTATTCTATTTAAGAAATTCCCAGTGCAACCCACTGTTATACGTTTCATTATTACCTACGGCTATGCTTACATTTAAATTACAGACTATATTTCTTCTTCTTACTTCAATAACCTATCCTTAATCTCCTTGTTTATACACTCCCTTCAACATCCCCAATAACATCATTCACAAGTGAATGACTTCGAGGGGGGGAGTAGTGTAAGGATAGGTCCGAGGTGCCAAGCCTCGGACTGCTACAGTAATTTCTTTATGA